AGTCTGAGTCCCATCCTTTTCTGTCTCTCTCCCAGAGAGGTAGCTGCTGCTGTGGCTCCTCTCCTCCCCTCCCCACCCCGTTTCTTTCTCAATCTCTCTCTCTCTCTCTGCCATGTCTCCCCTTCTCCCTTACCCCTCCACCCTCTGCCCACTGCAGTCTTGGGGATCTGCAGCATTTTACTTAATTCATTACAACTGGGATTTGTGCTAATTAATCACAATGGCCGGGCAAATTAGCTTACTGGGGCTGGAGAGAGGGCTCACCAGGTCAAGCTCAGCTTGCTGCTATGTCGATGACCTGAGTTTGATTCCCAGAACCTGCATGGTGGGAGAAAAGAACCGACTCCTACAAGTTGTTCTCTGACCTCCACACACATGCAAGGCTTGCCTGTGTCACCCCCACCCCGTAAATAAACGCTTATTGAGTTAAATTAAGAAGTCTGTTGCGTGAATGAGATACAGAAGGACCCTCGATACAGCTCAAGACTGTAGCTACAAGTTTGGTGCAACAGGGTTTTTAAAGGTAGTGCCAAAAGATTTTCCTTTTATTTCCCATGAGTAGTATCCCAATGAACAGTGCTGGACTCTGTCAGTGACTTGGACCTAGATGTTGTGGCTCAGCAGAACGTCCCTAAGAGGTCCCTGGAGAATGGTGTGAGGGTTGGAGGCTGGGGACTGGGTGCAGAGGCTGGGGACAAAGGCAGGTACTGCTACTATTGGTTTAACCCACAGCACGGAACTAGTGCCACTCTTTTTTAACTTAAGTGTGTGTGTGTGTATGTATATATATTCATTTTTAATATATATATTTGTGTGTATGTGTTTTGGTATACCACAGAACATGTGTGGAAATCAGAGAGGACAACTTTTTTGATTTCTCTGTGTAGACCAGGTTGGCCTTGAACTCACAGAGATCTACCTGCCCTCCCCTCATGTTCCAAGTGCTGAAGGTTAAAGGTGTGTGTCACCACTGCTCAGCCAAAGGACAACTTTTGAGAGCTGGTTCTTTCCCTCTACATGTGAGTCCCAAGGATGGAACTCAGGTCAGCAGGCTTGGCAGGAAGTGGCTTTACCTTCTGAGTTAAATCACCACCCCTTGATATATTCTTTTAAAAAATTATTTTTGCTATTTAAAAATAATGAGTATACATGCATGCCTGTGTGCTAGCATGTCGGTGAACTCAGGTATCTGCTGATCCTAGAAGAGGGAGTCAGGTCCCCTTCATTGGAGCTACAGTTGGCTGTCAGCAGCCTGTTGGGGGTGCAGAGCCAACTCTCCAACTCCTCTAGTCTCAACTGTTAAGAGCAATGTTTTTTTCTCTGGAAACGAAGTAACTGAATCTCAGCTTTTTCTCTCTGTGGCCACCTCTAAGATGAGCCAGCAAACCAGACTTCATCTTCATCGCTGTCACCTCACTGAGCTGGACTTTTGCATATCCAGCTGGTCAGTCAACTAATATGTATGGAACTTCCTCTATAAGCCTATATCACACACACACACACACACACACACACACACACACACACACACACAATCAGGGGAGTGAACTGGTGAACTGATGGTCAGATGGGATGGAAGGATAGTCTGATCAGTACTTTAGCCAGAGTCTAGAATATCTTCCAAGGGAAAGCTGGGTTCACCCCTCTGCCCATCCCCCACTGGTCCCTCCCAGCATGGAGGTGCCCAGGCATCCAAGCAGGTGTGGAGAAGCAAACAAAAGTGATCAAAGAACAGGTATGAGGCAGCTCTCAGGAGGTCAAGTGGATGAAATCGCCTCCTGAAGAGAACAGCACGCCTCTACTTTCTAGTAGGCAGACGGCCTGCAGCAAGCCTGGTGGCCTGAGAAGGGAGAAAAACAAAGGGTAGATACTGGGGAGGCCAGTGGGTCCCACACCGCCCTGGTGAGCAATCCCAGAATGAAGTGTTAGACAATAGGAAAAGGACAGACTGACCTTGTGATGACGTGCACACTCTGAACACGTGTTCATCTAGATGTGTACATGTAATCCCAGCAAGTCCAGTCATGAAACTCACCCTAGCTTAGGAGCATGGATCTCCTGAGACTTGCTTTGTAGACCATGCTGGCCTTGAACTCAGAGATCTGCCTGCCTCTGCCTCCTGAGTACTGGAATTGAAGGTGTGTGCCACCACAGCTGGCAGATGTTTAAAACATATTCACAAGGCCTGGGGAGAGGGTAGGGTGCTCGCCCTGTGTGCCCAAAGCCCTGGCTGTTCCCCATTGCCACAGAAAGCTGGCTGTGGTGTAGGAGGACGGTACATGCCCACCATCCTGCCACTAGACAGACAGGAAGATATATGTTCAAGGCGAGACTGAAAGACAGGAAGAGAAGAGAAAGGCCCACTCACTGGCCTCTCATTAGCAATGAAGCAGGAATCCCAACAGCTACCTACTACTGGCGGCTTCTCCCTTCCCCACCGCAAACCTGAGCTTCCTCGGAATCTGGCCAGAGTCAACAGACACAGAAAGGTCATGGACTACACACCTTGCGCAACCCTAGTGGCTCCTGGTCTTACTTTATCAGGTTATAAATCAGCCCAAGGCACCCGACTACCTTATCATTTCTCTTATCAAGAGAGTAAAGAGGGAGGGTTCCTAAAAACGTTTTGAAATGCAACTTTATAGCCACCAAAATGGCATAATCCTAAAACACTCAGTCGCATCTCTCCTTCCAGGAGCCCATACCGAAACTTGGGTATGCTTCCGTCTCCTCCCACTCCCCCTTGAGAAGCAGGGGCCCACACATGGGGTTGACTTTCTGAGTGTCTTCTCCTAATTCTCATGCTCGAGACTCTATTAAAATACCTTTAATACAAATCTCCAATTCTGCTTCATAGTGGCTAAGCCTGAGACTTTTTCTCTGAGTTAGAGCCACAAATCCAGGCTTAGCCTGAGTTCCCTTGGATTAGGGAGACTCCTCGGGCTGCTGAGGGTGACGGCGTGAGGCTGTGGCTGTGGCTCTGTCCCCTTTTTGCTGACAAATCCAAGGGTTTTGTGTAGCTCAGGGGTGGAACATATGCAAGGCCCTGATTCAATTCCTAGTACAGCACAGAAAACAAAGCAAAAGGAGCCCATCTTTTTACGAAGGAGGACGGGGCTCTCTCTTCTTTCAGGCCAACAGTCCACAGCTCCCTCCCGCACGCGCCTCTCTGGCCGGACCCACACCTGAGACTCTGCACTCTCACAGTGGCTCAAGCTGTCTGTATTACTTCACAACCTCCCTCTTCCCCTCCAAGTATTAGCTGTCTATGACCGATGAAGAGACGGTGTTACTTTGCTCCTGGGTTGCCCGGGTGCACACAGTTCTTTCACGGAACCTCCCGTGGTGAGGCTTCTAATGCATCATCTTACCCAGAAATCTCTCCAGTGGTGGGCTTGCAAGTGCTGCCATGCTTGGCTTTCTACACACTTGGGCTTGGTGTTACACACCGGTCCCTCTGCTTGCCTGTGACACTTTATGGACCGAGCTACACTCCCAGCCCCAAAAGCCCCTTTGTTACAAACCAAGCATCTTTGATTCCACTGCTGTAAAAAGATTCTAACAAATACAACATAACACAAAATAGAAACTTCTCGAAGTACTTCTATCTAGGTCCGTGTTTCACTAGAAGCTAGCTACAGATTTCCTTCCAGTCACTTAGGAGAAGAACACTCAGAAGTTTCTAGACATTCCGCATTAAACACGGCCATCTTTCCACACTGCGGCTGATCCTTGGCCCAGAACCATACAGATTCCTGATTAGAGAACTTCCCAGGTACTTGTTGGGTGTAGGGCCGAGCAGCTTGGTGACCAAGCAGGTGAAGCAGCAGCTTCTAGGCTGTAGTCGTTTGAATACATTTGGCCCCCATGAGCTCACAGGGAGAGGCACCAATGGGAGATGTGGCTTTGTTGGAGTAGGCATGTCCTTGTGGGAGGAAGTGTGTCACTGTGGGGGCGAACTTTGAGGTCTCCTGTGTTCAAGATACCACCCAGTGTCACAGTTCACTTCCTGCTGCCTCTGGATCAAGATGCAGGACTCTCAGCCCCTTCTCCAACACCATGTCTGCCTGCATGATGCCATGTCCCACCATGATGATAACGGGCTAACTCTCTAAACTGTAAGCCACCCAATTAAATGTAAGCCACCCAATTAAATGCTTTCCTTTATAAGAGTTGCTGTGGTCATGGTGACTCTTCACAGTAATGGAAACCCTAAGACATATGCCAAGAGTGTTCTCAACCTTTCTCCAATCTACTAAGTTGTGATAATTCATGAAAAATATCCCCCTTCAGGGGACTGGAGAGATGGGTCAGAGGCTAAGAGCACTGGCTGCTCTTACAGACTGGGGTTTAATTCCCAGTACCCAGATAGTGACTCACAAAACTATCTATGCAACTCCAGACCCAGTAGATCTTATACCTTCTTCTGGCCTCTGTGTGCGGTACCCACACCCTCTGGTACCCTCTGTGGGTACCGCACACACACAGTACACAGACATATGTTACATGCCGGTAAAACACCCATATACATAAAATATAAATAAAGAGGAAACCCCCTCAGGTCTGTTGATGTAGACTGTAACGAAACTTTTATGGACAACTAAGGCTCTCCATTATTAACCACGTGCTCCTCCACTTACTCAGCCTTGGGTAACATGGTTGGGCCTGAAACCAAAAGGCCTGGCTCTTGAATCCACTCTAAATCCCACCTCCTCCCCTTTAAGAAAATATTGCTCTGCTGTCGATTATGCACAAGACCGTTTGGTCAACATCCCAAACCCAACAAAACCACGACTATTACCTGGGGACAAGCCCAGTGACCCAGAAACTCCCATTCTCATGGCTTCTGAGTAGACGCAATCTGAAGCTCATCACGACCGCATTCTTAGCAAGTAATCAGGATGCCTGAAACTGAGCCCACCGTGCTCCCCTTGAAAACCAGCCAGCGAGAAGAAACACGAGACGGCGGGGGACAGGAGAACACTCTGTGGGCTGCCCACCTCTTTCCATTGCTGTCTCGCAGCATTGCTTTCCCCATCACTCGGGACTTGGTCTCCAGCTCCTGCACCTCCTCCAGCAGCGTCTTTTTGCAGGTGTGCTTGGCCCTGGAGCAGAAGAAACAGACAGGAGAAGATGGCATGTGACCATGACATAGCTGTGAAGACTGCTCATCCTCCTCCCTGGCACAGCGAGCTGCCCCCTGGATACCTTCCTTGGCACAGTGAGGTGCTCCCTGGACATCTTCCCTAGCACACCAGGGTGCCCTCTGGACACCCTCCCTGGCACAGCGAGCTGCCCCCTGGACATTCTCCCTGGCACACCAAGGTGCCCCCCTGGATACCCTCCTTGGCACAGTGAGGTGCTCCCTGGACATCTTCCCTAGCACACCAGGGTGCCCTCTGGACACCCTCCCTGGCACAGCAAGGTGCCCTCTGGACACCCCTGGCACAGCGAGGTACCTACCCTCTGGATAAGCTGGCATGTCACAGGGGTTCACCTCCCCAGCCCCAATCATCCTGAATACTTCGGATGAGACCTGGACTGTGAAACACAGGTGTCCTACTCCATAAAAGCTGGGGACCCGGCAATTCTAACCAAGGACAAGAGAAGCCCCGGAGATCAAAGAGTTGGTCCCTAGAGCTTCCGCTGTAGGCTACGAAGCCCATGAGATATGTTAAGCCTTTCTCTTTGCACAGGTTCTGGTCCTTGTTTCCTGCTCAGCTGGGTCACAGAGACCGGAGCTAGCAGTACTTGCCTCCCTGTTTACCGTCACAAGAACCCCTGCTTGAGCAGAGATGAGGTCTAGGATACCAGAATTCATGCTCTCAATGCGAAACCTTGGTCTGAGGTTTGGAATCAATAGCTATCCAGTGCAGCTTTCCCATCCTCCTCTGGCCACGGCTTACTCAGGAAACCCAGGGCTGATTTCCTGCCACAGTGAGAAACCTGGCCTGAAGCTTGGTCCCTCCTGGGTAGCAGAAGAATTACCCACTCCCTTTTCCTGGCTAAATGAAATCCCTCGCAATGGTCAAATAATCTGTTGGTCTCAGGTTCCTCTAAATTACAGCTAAACTGTAACCTGTTGAACACATATATTCAGCTCCTGCGCTGCACCCCACAGCCATGCACACTCGGTGGAACTAAAAATGACATCGTCATCACCAAGGCGGTGTCTCCAAAAGAGACACTAACTTTCTGGTTTCAAGACATTTTATCTCTTTTTGTTTTGGCTATGTTGGGAATTGAGCTCTGGCATGGTACATGCTAGGCAAATGCTTTGCCACTGAATGACCCTTCCACCACCCCAGCTTACTAACTCTCTCTCTGTCTCTCTCTCTCTCTCCATTCTGTTTCCTCATTGAACAAATCTTATGTCTATGTGCTAATTTTTTAAAATTTGAAACTAAGCAAAACTACACAAAACTAAAATTGATCCTCTGGTTTGAAACATTATATATATATATGAAGAAAAGGGATTTAACAAGAAATAGGCTGGGAATGTAGCTTAGTTAGTAGAGCATTTATTCCTCTGCACAAGGCCTGAGGCTCAATTCCTAGCACCATTGCTACCACCACCACCACCACCACCACCATCATCATCACTACCACCACCACCATCACCCCTACCACCATCACCACCATCATCACCACCACCACCATCACCACCACCACCACCACCACCATCACCACCACCACCACCACCACCACCACCACCACCACCACCACCACCACCACCACCACCACCACCACCACCACCACCACCACCACCACCACCACCACCACCACCACCACCACCACCACCACCACCACCACCACCACCACCACCACCACCACCACCACCACCACCACCACCACCACCACCACCACCACCACCACCACCACCACCACCACCACCACCACCACCACCACCACCACCACCACCACCACCACCACCACCACCACCACCACCACCACCACCACCACCACCACCACCACCACCACCACCACCACCACCACCACCACCACCACCACCACCACCACCACCACCACCACCACCACCACCACCACCACCACCACCACCACCACCACCACCACCACCACCACCACCACCACCACCACCACCACCACCACCACCACCACCACCACCACCACCACCATCACCACCACCACCACCACCACCATCACCACCACTACCACCACCACCACCATCACCACCACCACCACCACCACCACCTCCACCACCACCATCACCACCACCACCACCACCACCACCATCTCTACCACCACCATCACCCCTACCACCATCACCACCACCACCACCACCACCATCATCGCCATCACCGCCGCCACCACCATCACCACCAGCAACAACAACAACAAAAAGGAAAAGGAAAAAAGTAGGTTAGATAAAGGCAACAAAGTGCTGCGTACAGAAAGTCACGACAATCTTAAGGCAGCAGTGCCGGTGGTCTCCTTAGGAACGGCTCTGCTACATCCTCATGCTGATGAACTGTGTTTAAGGAGTTTTTTTTTTTCTTTTGCCAAGCTGTAGAAGGCTAGGACCCAGAAATAACTGAGCGTGACTGCGCAGCAGTGGAAATGGTGACCGGGAGACGGGGTTTGCTCCTCCCAGCAGTCCTCCGCACGTAAGGACAGGTCTGCTCAGATACTGCGGCTCACCCAGCACTTCATGTTAATCTCTAATGGAGTACTAGCAGGAAGACATGGGCGATGCGCCTGCCATCCTTCCTCACAGAGTAAACAAGTGAAAACCGCACAGGCCTTAACACATGATACCTTAATTACTTCAGACGGAGTTCTGAGGCTCAGTATCGATAAAATACCAAGTTCAAAGTAGGAGCCATGGAATTTTTAAGTTAAACAATAAATGAGAATATGGCCAATATTTTGCAGGAGAAAGGACATTTACACGTATGCTGTCCAGTATTGCTAAATGTTCCTGTGTTGATAATAAACCAAGTGCCATGCTCCGCCTTCCAAAGTCACTTTCCACTAGGGTGGGCATGCTTCCCCACACTGCCCTCCCTTCTGCACAGGACAGAGCACCTCTGGGCTAGCCCCATTGCTGTCTTCTGGGTCAGGAGAGACAGAGCTGTTGGGGGTTGAGACAGGAAGAACAGACACGGAATGGGTGTAGGATAATGGAACCTGAAGCCTAGGCCGAGAAACAAAGGACGTGACACCCAGCATCGCAGACACTGGCCTGGGGAGGGCAATGGCTTGCTCGCTTCCATAAAGCCAGAAACTGTTTTCTCTGAGGACGCAGCGCCAGGCTGGCTTCTGTGAACTAGGTTTGGGACTCAGCCCCTCTTGAGAGCCCTGGGTTGTAAGCCTAGGGAGGCATGTAGCACTGGAGTAGAAGGATGTCAGAAATTTAAAAGCACTTCCTCAAGGACTATGACCTACTAAGGGCTGAAGTCAGTAGAATACCGATCTTAAGTCTCCCTGTAACATATGCGTGTAGTGATTTCACACTGACCTGCTATCAAGGCAAAGCTAGATGCATTTGCCGTTGGTGTGTGGTCACGTTTCACTGAGAGCTCGGAAGTCAGATTATTATCTGGTGTCTTTCCCCCAGTGCCCCAGCTTCCTTAATTTCATCCCATTCAAGACATTCCAATTCAAGACAAGAGGGAGAGACTCGAGCTATCTGGGGGCCGACAGATGAGCCACTCTGAGCTTTCTGGGGCAGGAAAGAGCATCTCTAGGTTTTAAGAGACTTTTATCTTTTTTATTAGCTTTAGTTGTATAAAGGAGCGGGTTTCACTGTCAGATTTTTCAAACACCCGTGTGTGTGTGTGTGTGTGTGTGTGTGTGTGTATGTGTGTGTAAAATCATTTTCAGCCCTCCACTACTTCTCTAGCCCACCTCCCCTGGTCCTAGCCCTCTTCTGCTTTTATGGTCCCTTGTGGTGGCAATTTGAACGTCTCATAGTTTAGGTTCTAGAACTTAAGATCTGAGCTCGCTCTTTTGCACTCAAGAACAGCCAGCCAATCGGAAACATCACATTCCGTGGCTGAAAGAGGAAACACAGTGAGCTTCAACAGAAATTGGTTTGGTTAGAATGTTAAAATACAATCAAGGCCCATTTGTACACAGAAATGGCCTTTATTGCCATTTAACTATTTATCGGAAACGATCCAGAAATGAAGTCATTCTGGGATTGGGGAATGTATTGTATGATGCCTAGTGAAAGAGACAGGAGACTCGTTTCATATAAGGAAGGGTGTTCCACCACGGTCGGTGGCCTTGAGCTCTGCACCGCTTCTAGAGCGTGACAGTAACCAGTTTCTTCTGGATGCAGAGCCACACCTACCTGGCAGTTTGCTTATGCTGTCACAGGTAAGCGTTTTTTGGGAGAGCGCAGGCTAACCGATATTAAAACAGTTCTGCACGGTTTACACTCCACACATCTGACAAGACTCTTCACTAGCCAGGGGTCACAGAGTCAATTATGTTAATAAACAATTAGGGCCATTTGGGCCCTCATCAAACTTTGGAGAAATAATAGGGCAGGCTTTTTATGGTGTTCCAAATTTGACTTCAGATAGGCTAGCAACGGGTCTTCATCCAGAAAGTTGACAAACTGTGGGAAGAGCAAATGACCTCATCCTGATTCTCTCCTTTTACTCTTAACAGCCAGGTCCTGGAATGGAGATAAGGGGCTGGCTAAAGGAAGGAAGAGGTGCCTAGAAGTGAGTCACTCAGCCTCTTAGGTGCTCGTGATGTCCCCTCGAAAAGCCAGGCCTGCTCTGTAAGAAAGTTTCCAAAGACAGGGCAACAGCCTTTGGCAGCGCCTGCAGGATCAGCACTCATGAACTGAGGCAGGGGAATCTTAACATCAGGGCCAGCCTGGGCTATGCAGAAAGAACTTATCTTAAAACAAAATGAAACAAAACCCCAAAAAAACGAAAAAAACAAGGGCTGGGAGTATCGCTCAGTGGGAGAATTTTTTGTTAGTGTGAGGGCTGTGTTAGAGAAAGTGAGCGAGACATCAGAGATCAAAGGATGGGCGGATGTAGACAGTGATGCTACAACCCTTTAATATAGTTCCTCAGTGTGGTGGTGACCCCCAAACATCAAATTATTTTATTGCTACTTCATAACTAACTTTGCTCCTGATATGAATCTTAATGTAAATATCGGATATGCGATCCCCAAAGGGGTTGCGACCCACAGGTTGAGAATCACTGTGTAGAGCATGGTGGGCCATGGGAGTGTGGAGAACGTTTTCTAAAGCTTTCAGAATGGCAGTTCAGACACAAGGGCCACAGGGGAGCTCTGTGGCTTTTCCAGGGGCAATCAGTCTGCCACATACTTTCTGTCCTTGGGGGGAGCCACCAGGTTCACTGGCCTTGGCAAATTCCAGCTCCCAGTATACTATGGGCCCACATACATTCACGAAACTCTTGTTCTTCAGGATGGGGACAGCAGAAGTTTAGGCATCAAGCAGATATTGCAAATGGGCATATAGGCTGGGTGGTGGTGGCACACACCTTTAATCCCAGCACTTGGGAGGCAGAGGCAGGTGGATCTCTGTGAGTTCGAGGCCAGCCTGGTCTACAGAGTGAGTTCCAGGACAGTCAGGACTGAGGACTGTTTCACAGAGAAACCCTGACTAGAAAGAAAAAAAAAACAAAAACAAAAAAAAACAAAGACGCAAATGGGCATATAGTTTGGGCTAATTTAACACACTGTTTTAGCTCCTCTCAATAACGCAAGAGCAAAATGCATTCGGAAAGTGGTTATGTAAGTCAGTAGGGCCTCTTCTGGCTCTGTCAAATGATAGGATGCCATTCCTAGGAGAAGCTGTGCTTACCAACCCTGCCAGGCAGCAGGCAGCCCCTGCCTGGGCCCTAACAATACAACCGGCAAGGATAGCCCTCCCTGCTGGCTCCTCAGACCTTTCTGTGGGGCTCTGGTCCCAGTTGGAACCCAGCTGGCAAGCTCCTTGGAGGGAAAGTGATTTTTACTCTTCCCATATGCCAGAGCTGGAAGTAGTATCATCTGATTTATCATTGTTAAAATGTAAATGGTGTTAATTTTATAGCCTAGGTCCTACAAATGGGACCAAGAGGAGTCTTGCTGGAGGCAAGAGATCATCTGTCTGCTTCATGGTGACAGAGGACTTGTACTTGCAAAAATGTATTGGAAGGGGTTCTGAAGACACAGGGGAATGCAGAGCCTTTGCAATCCTCTTGCAAAACTCTATTGTTAAAATGAAACAAAGATACTTTTGCTGAAGACCCACTTGGCGGAAGGAATGAGCCTCAATAAAACTCTGTTTTCATGGCATTAATTTAAGATAGCTGAATTAAGATAGTTGGGGACAAATTTTGTAAGCCCGTAATTACTTCCCGTCAGACGCAGCCAAGTCAAGAAGGAGCTCGGCCCTGAAGCTAACTTATTTGCAGAGCTGTACAAACTCAGCTAGGGAATAAACATGTTGTGCCCAAACTGGGCCTACTGGCTCAAGGAACACGTGATGGAATGACTATTTCCTCACAGGCGTCTAGTAGGTTAAGGAAATATCTTTCCTGGCTCTAGCCATCCTGCAGGTTCCAACTGTGCCCTTTACAGAACACAGTCGTGGCAGACCAAACAGAAGCAGTTGGTTAGTTAGTAAATGAATTTAAGAAGTTCAAATGATATGAGTTTTGGTAGTAGTCGAAAAACTTAGCGGAAGAAAAACAAGCAAATATTCATTCTAGGAAAATTATTGTTCCCTTCTCTGCGCCAGCACAATCATCTGTCAAGATAGTGGCCAAATGAAGACTTTTTCACAAGAGATCCCCGTCAGGCAAGAATAATTCCTGCCAAGTGTGGGAGGAATGAAGAGATAAAAAAAAAAATGAGACCTGGTGTCTTTTCCTGGAAGGCTTGGGTTAAAAATCTCACTTTGCTACCTCAGGGCCCTGAAATAATTGTGGTTTGCCCAAGCTAGAAGTCTCAATTTTCAGGGAAATTGGCCATATTTCTAAGAGGAACTAGGCCCATCTGAGCCTAAACCAGTACTATGGGCCTTAGAACCATCTCTCACCTTCGCCTGAATGAAGTTAGAGGCTAGATTCTCTTGGGACACCAGCGTTTCTTTATATTTTAGGAAAGGTATGAACGGAAAACAGAGGAGCGGGAAGCAAGTTTGAGTTATTTCCCATGTAATCTGCATCATAATTTCATATTTGTGATGCGATTTTCTTACAGAGGTGTAAAATCGTCTCTTGAGAAGAATCAATTGGCAGGGCTCCTGCTGTGAGCTGGTTAGAAGGATGAGGTCTCCTTCCCTTCTGTCAGGGGAGTGACTGACGTGCCTATGATTTTCTACTGAGAGCCAGGCACTATCTGGGCTTGCTTGGCATCAGCTTTAAGGTGTGGAAAGAGTCTTCGGTCGTGTTTCCTAAACGTGATGAGATGCGTCTGTGTTTGGAAACAGACTTACAGTCACACACAAGGCAATGGCCCTACTGGCTGTCACGTGACCTCTGCTCTCTGTTCCTTTGCCTCTGCATTCTCCTATCAAAATGAAGCACAAGCTTAAACTTAAACAACCTCCCCCAAATAAATAAATAAATAAATAAATAAATAAATAAATAACCCCTTTTGTTTGGCAAGCGCTAGGAGTCCCGTTTCTTCTTAATTCCCATAGCCCCCAGTGCGAGGCAGCTGCAAGGAGAGAGGTGCAAGGCCTGATGGCATGACGTCACTGTGTACTTACGCTCGCCACACCACATCTTCAATCAGACACGCAGTTGGAACCAGGAACAATCCCAACCAGAAGGATGCAGAGCTCAGGACCATGGTCGCCTGCAAGAAACACAAGTCACAGGCTATTACAGGTTCTCCATCAAACGGCGGGAGGCGATTTAATCAGTGTGGCGCATCGCACAACATGGAAGCCATGGGGAGGCTGGGGACAGCTGGCCTGGCTCCTTGTCTGGTCTCCGCTGGCTCTCACCTCCATCCTTTCAGCTTGGCTTGTGGTGTTGTCCCTGCTTCGGAACCTCAAGCTCCCTCCTGAACAGAATGCTCTTCTAATTCCCCACAGAGAGAAAAGTCAGCACCATCCTTCTGTGGAATCAACTGCTTCCTGAGGCTCCCTTTGTTCACCGTGCAGCGGCCCACTTCCCTTTACTGCTTTTCATGGGCCCAGCATCCCATGACTGACTAGTGCAAAGGCCATTGGTTCCCTCCATTCGGAAGTGGAAGATGTCCTTGTTACCTGGCTTCAGGGAGTCGGAAACATGGGGTCTGGCATGGGCAAGCATGACGGTTATAGGAGAACTCCTTTGTTAAGTGTTATTGTACATTTATTTTTCCTATTTTTATGGCTTATAACTCATCTTTCAACTCCTGAGCCTACAGCCTTACTGTCCCCAGGTGGGCTTAAGAAGACAAGGTAAGGAAGGCAGAGTGAGCCAGTGACAGAGACAACGGAGTCAGTTCAAGGGCCAGCCTGGTTATGCGAGGTGCTGTGTCAATATCCCCTCCCTCAATTAACAACAGCACCAGCAGCACACAACAAACCAACCCCAAACACCACAAACCAAAGGGCATCTAGAGAGGGACAGAGGGCACGGAACACAGCTTTTGGTGGACTTTCTTGCTTCCAGCCATGTAAGCTCAGGACAGTTTGGGCTGGCAGCACAGAGGCTGAAAGGCAGAGAGTGGCAGCTAACTGTAGTAAGGGAGATGCTGGGGACCAAAGCAGAGGGCGGGAACAGCTTGCTCTGAACAGAACCGGGGACTGGGGGTCCTGACTCCTCATAGTTCGGTTTTGAGTAAACAAAGGTCCAGAGCACGGAACCGGTTGATGACTGGCAAGGCAGTTTCACAGGGCAGCTGTCAGGCTAAGGGAGCGGAGCTAAAGTATGGCTGGGTCCTGCTGCTCCCTGGGTTTCTTTCCATTTCACTGACTGACATGTTTTGCTAGAACTTAGTGCACAGTGGGGTTAGGGTCACAGAGGTGAGGGCTGCAGAGGTGAGGGTCTCAGAGGTGAAGGCCACAGGGGTGAGGGTCACAGAGGTGAGGGCCACAGGGGTGAGGGTCACAGAGGTAAGGGCTGCAGAGATGAGGGCCGCAGACGTGAGGGCTGTAGAGGTGAGGGTTGCAGAAGTGAGGGTCGCAGAGGTGAGGGTTGCAGAGGTGAAGATCACAGAAGTGAGGGTAACAGAAGTGAGGTTCACAGAGGGTGAGGGTCGCAGAGGTGAGGGTCACAGGCGTGAGGTTCATAGAGGTTAGGTTCACAGGGGTGAGGGCAGCAGGAGTGAGGACACAGGGGTGAGGGTCACAAGGGTGATGGTCACAGAGGTGAGGGCTGCAAGGGTGAGGGTCACAGAGGTGAGGGCCGCAGGGGTGAGGGTCACAGAGGTGAGGGATACACAGGGGTGAGGGCCGCAGGGGTGAGGTTCGCAGGGGTGAGGGCCATAGGGGGAAAAGAGCAGAGGGACTGAGACTGTCATCTCACTTCCTCACAGGGACTGCAGGGGTGGAGAATCAGGGGGATCCCAGGGCAACTCCTTCCTTTCCCACGGATGCACCCTGGTCCCAGCCTGGCATCTGAGCATCAACTCAGGCTACCTTGTTGCTTTTTCTACCTGCAGCGCCTCTGTGAGAGCATCCCCTAGTCAGAGCACCTACACAGCCCGTCTGGACAAGCCCACATCTGATCACAGCTTCTTGCCTCTGAGCTCCATCATACATATGGCCCTGCTTGTGGCTCTTGGCATTCATGACAATTCTGCTGACCCATAGTGAAGTTAGAGGCAGGGGAAACAAAAGCACAGCCTGGTCCCTGACTTTTCCCAAAGTTGAGAGTATCCATTTTTGTGAAGGAGACATTTGAGAGTATGCAAACATGCAAGTGTGTTTTCCTATCAATCACCCCTCTGGGAATTCATCCCACGAAAGGGAAGTATGAAGAGGCAAGGCAAGAATATTCTTGAAAGTGCTCTCCTAGCACAGAAACGAGAAGGGAGGCAATGGCTTCCTGAACGGATTACAGTCCGCAGTGAAAGAAACATTACAGTTACTGTACAGACATAGAGATGTCATATCACATCGCTAAGTTAACCAGATGCTTTCGAAGACCCTCCAAGGGATGCTGTCACAGGGTCTGTGGACAAGGCAGGGCCACTGATCCTAGCCTCAAGCTAAGCCTGAAGTGGTCTTTCCAGACACACTGAGGAAACCCAGGGAACATCACCCCAAACACTGCATCTGGGAACAATGAGGAATTTTAATCCCACACATAAGGGTCAGCAAGTATTGATGAGACTTTTCTCTGCTTGTCCTGTTTCCACCTGGAGAAGAGATCCAGCAACTAGGATCCCGGTGGCCTTTAGTCTTCTCTCTGGAATGCCATCAGTGAAGAGGATTAAATTTCCCTCCCAGAGGAAGACAACACCGGGGTCCAACAGGACACCAGAGAACTTTGGCCCTTCAGGCCCATTCCCACCCCTGAAGGTTTTTCTCTTCCTTGACAACTCCATGTGCCCCCCCTTCCCCTTCCAGCTCCCCTGTGGAGCTTCTAGATCTCAGAGATAACTGGGAGCTCTCTTTCTTGAGAAAGAGAGGGAAAATACAAGCAGACATTTTCCCAGAGACTATACTATTGGCAGCTGATTTCAGTAGATTTGAAGCGTCACTGGTTGAAGGGGAAAGAGAAAGGATATTTCCCCCGATGACAGACCGACACGCGTCTGCACCTTGCCTAGTAGGCAGTGGACATACGTTAGTCTCCATCAACACGCATCGTCATGATATCACTGTGTCATGTCATACCCCCACATTTAACAAGGTGGAGCGGGGAGGTAGAGTACATCTTTGATCCCAGCACTCAGGAGCAGAGGTTGCTGATCTCTGTGAGTTCGAGGCCAGCCAGGTCTACAGTGAGTTCTGGACAGGAAGGGCTACATAGGAAGACCCTGCCTCAAAAAGAAAACAAAACCAACCAACCAAACAAACAAGAACTTTCCAGAATGCAAAGTCTGTGGACTGGCTCCTACCCTGGTGATCTGGACAGAATCTACCTCGTCATTCATGTAGCTGCTTATGCAATTGGGGAAAACACATGAAGGACACGTCGAACATGTGTCTGAGGGGCAACCATAAGGAGCTGTGTCCTCACATCTCTTTGTCTATCTCTACTTCCTGTTTTTCTATAGAAACAAGTGTTAGTAAGTGACAGCAAGGTCAACTTCCACTCTCCACCCAGGTTAACCTAGGCAGGGGCTGGACCAGCTCCGTGGCTAACGTTGTCTTTAGAGTCCACGGATACACTGTGACTGTGAATGGCCAGGCTGGTGCTCGGTGCGTGGAAGGATGGGATCAGGCTCTCCTGCGGAGGATATGGACAGAAACATCTGCTGGGCTCACTGATTAGAGAATTCAGTCACCCACAACAATGCAGTGCTTCAAACTGTGTCCAAGACTCAAAGAGAGCCATAGGTACGCTACTATTCCATGGTTGGTCTTTAGAGCTAGGGGCTACGACTATGAAGTACACAGAACTGACATTAAAGGAGTGTCTCAGCAACGTTGGAAAGATGTGGTGAGTGTGGAGAAGGCTACAGTTTCCCTGCAAGGAACGGGGACCAAGGCTGTTGGGTGCCACTGTGTAGTAAGACGTCCCTTAAAGCGCAGTACTCAGACCTCTTACAGACATTTCTAAAGGAATAAAAACACTGTGCTATCTTCACACCCCTGTCTCCAGAGAGGAATCCCTCCAGCTGTGGTGCCCTGACCTTGAACCAGCTCCCTTCCTAACTTCAGGGGGACCAGCCCCTCCCCTCTCCCTGAGTGAGTGTCCACAGAGGAAGGAAGCCCCAGAGTCCCAGGCGAACACAGGTCTCACTACAGGGCCTTAGCGTCTGCTTCCGCCAGAAATTCCAGGTACCAGCTTCACATTTTAAATAATTTCTGTAGAATGTAGGAAATAATAAAAACAGAAACACTGAAGGGGACGAGAGCTCCACCCTGCCCAGTAACACAAGGATAGGTTAGAATGTGAGCCTGCGCTAGGCTTTGCTTGTGGCCCCTTGTAACCTTCTCGACCCCCATGCTTGGAAACTGATTTTCAAGTCAAAGGCTAAAGAGCTTCAGTCTGGCTTCGAAGTGCGTCTCTCCAAGGCTGTGCTGTCTATGAACGTGCAGGTGAAGGGTTAGGATGTTCTCTGCCCTTTCGACTGGGAGCTGATTTTGTTGTGTTTGCTTATTTTGTTTTGGTTTTTGAAACTGGGTGTTACTCTCTAGCCCAGGCTGGCCTTGGACCCCAGCCTCAGTCTCCTGCTTCGGTCTTCTGAGTGCTGGAATTGGAGGAGTCAGCTTTAGGGTGAGCTGTTCTCTGCGGGGTGGTGACAAGCATGGTCTGCCCAGGTTGTTGGGCAGCAGCCTACACAGACGGGAGCTGTTTGGCCCTTGGGAGGCCTGACTGACCGGCAAGTGCACTGTGCACACATCGCTGGGAATAGGGCTCTCCTGTGTCTATCCTTTCCAGCCAATTTCTGTCCCACGAAACAATGGCTGCCCTGATTTGTGGCATTGGAGCAGTCTGGCTGATTCTAGAATGTCATCCAAATGACACAACAGAGTACGGGTTTGTTTGATCTGGCTTTCTTCACTCAAAGTAAGGCCGTCGAGACTGAGCCATGTCGCATGGTAAATCTGCGACACACCCCCATTCTCTCTCCAGCAGGCATTGTGTGAGTCTACGGCATCTTGTTTATTCTCTCTCCTGATGATGGACACCTGGGTCGTTTCCACCTCGGGCCTGTTGCTCAGAATAAGGCTGCTGTGCAGGTCTCTG